ACGACGACTCGGAAAACACTTGGGAACCCAGGGAGAACCTCACGAACTGCAAGGAACTCCTTCGCGAATGGGAAAACCGACCACAGAGCTTCCAAGAACAACCGTGGAACTGGACGCGACGGGAGTACCAAGGACAAATGGCGATCAAGACCGCCACCATCCGAAGGGAGTTCACCCCACTCGACTTCCCGGAAGCGTATCGCTACATCAAGATAAGGAACGAAGGAGGCACTCACCGGACTAGCCCTTACTGGTTCCAACAGGAAGCCGATCCTCCGATGCGGCCCGCGGCGGCTCAGGCGCTTGGGCACGAGCGCCCTCGGCGGCCGGCGACACCAGCCCAAACTCAGCCAACACCGAAGGCTCCAGAGGAACGTCGGCGTACACGGCATCCCAGTCGGCCATAAACTCGGCCGAAATCAACTCCTCGGAGGAACGACGAGAGGCCTCCTCGGCCTCCTCCCTCTCAACCCGTTCCAGCTCCTCCAAACTATCGATTCCACGACGCACCGCGCGCATCATCTTCTCAAACCACAACTTTTTCTGTTTTCGCAACCGCTGCACCCTCACAGCGGCAGCCAGCTGCTCCTCTTCAGCAGCCTGGAGCTCGTCGTCAAGCCTCTGGTGCGTGAGGGAAATCTTGCGAAGCTCCTCGGGACCAACCCCCAACACGTCGCAACGGGAACGACCCAGGCGAACGCACTCCGCGCAGCGAGAAGAATCCGTCGGGGAAACCTCGCAGGAGGCAATCCCCCGACCTTCGCAATACGAGCACGAAGGCATCTCGACGGACGACTGAAGAACCGTAGCCAGGAGTAAATGACGCTCCAAAGTCTTTTTGGCGGGCGGCACGCGCGATTTCGATTTCTCAATTCGACCTGACATGATGAGCCATAAGGAACAAAAGGCAAAACGCACGGGCAGGGGCATCCACTCACTTTTGTACTAGGACGCTGAGGACAGCGTCAAGGGGGGAAGGGGGATAATGTGACGACCCGACCAACAGGTCGCAAGATCGGGCCAGGGACAAGGGCAGGTCATGCACGCGGGGCAGCACACCCCTGGTTACATAAGCATCCCATTATGTCAGCCAGACGGAAGTGGATCGCTGGGATCACCACAGATCCAAGACGATCCAGGATCACCGAGGATCACCAAGGATCCAAGACGATCCAGGATCACGAGGAAACCAAGTGATCCAGGGAACCACGATGAAGGACAAAGGATATATAGCACCAGGAGGATCTCCTTGTAGACAGTCATTACCTTTGTACTTCAGCGATCAATCTAAGTATCACCCTCACCCTTCACTTGACCTAGTCACTCAATTGATCCGAGTGTGATATCTCGCAAGAGACACGAACGACAACCCCCTCGAGAACACGAGAAGCACGGAGTCAGTATTGCATGAGGTCGCTACCTGCCTTATTCAGAACATAAACCCCACCGCGCCGATCAGACGGTTGACCCCGGAGATCGGATCGTGACATTACTCTATTACCGAGACTGGTATCTCTTCTAAGAGATACGATAACCCAAAAGAGAGAACGATAGTAGAGTGTTAGTTGTTATCGCACGGGCTTTACCTATCTTATAGAACAGTAACCCTAGCGCCCTGCTATTCGGTTGACCCCGGGGGTAGGATCGTAATAGACAGCTCGTCGTCGCAAGTCCGATAGGTAACGGTCGTAGTGCGACCGCTCTTCGTCGGCTACTAATATAAGGTAGGGTGCTTATATAAGGTGTTCCCCGCTAGCCTTCGTAGGTCCGCCCTTATCCCTAGCCTAATCCTACGGCCTTATTTGTGCTAGGCCTATTTGTTACCTCAGCCCCAAATAGTTCCCCTGTTGGTCAGGTTGTTATATATACTTTATAGTAGACGAAAGCGAACTACTAAAGGGCTCGCTACTATATAGTAAGGTAATAATACCTAAGACGCCTAGGACACCTATGTGACAACCCGACCAACAGGTCGCAAGATCGGGCCAAGGACAAGGGCAGGTCATGCACGCGGGGCAGGCACACCCCTGGTTATGTAAGCATCTCATTATGTCAGCAAGAGGATATGTTGGATCGCAACATATCCACACATATCGAGGATATGCTGGATCGCAACCTATCCAAGCATATCCAGGGATACAGGAACACATCCCTATGGAAACCCGATGAAGGGCGAAGGATATATAGAGACAGGAGGATCTCCTTGTAGACAGTCATTACCTTTGCACTTCAGTGATCAATCTAAGTATCACTCTTACCCGTCACTTGACCTAGTCACTCAATTAATCCAAGTGTGATATCTCGCAAGAGACACGAACGACAACCCCTCGAGAACACGACAAGCACGGAGTCAGTATTGTGTGAGGCTGCTACCTGCCTTATTCAGAACATAAACCCCACCGCGCCGATCAGACGGTTGACCCCGGAGATCGGATCGTGACACACGGCCCTTATCCGATGCGGAGCACTTAGCTAGCCAAGGAGTCGACATGTGATCGAGACTCGATGCAGAGTCTGAGACAAAGCGATAATTACCGAGTGAAAGACCGGGCAAGCGTTAGTGAACTTAAATCACAGGATTAAATGACCTGTACATCACCTCATAGGCTCGATTTGGCATGATTACGCTAGCCCTGATCCAAATCCCATGTCCGCACGGAAACCCCGGGGTGTCGGGGGGACTCTGACCGCGCCCTCGGCGACTAAAGACCCATGTCCTCACGGAAACCCCGGTTATCGGGGGAAGGTCTGCCCGTGCGTCCCCGGAGAGTTTGGAAAACTTGAGTGCTCGAACCTCAAAGACGCACGGCCAGAACGCTATTTGCTCGGCAATGCCAGGACCCTACAGTATATAACTCTGCCAGCATTGGATGAAAATCAGTTCACCAACAACCAAGGGCCCTTTCTTAACACCTGTATCTTCTTCTCGGATGACACCGACTAGACAAACATCGCATCTGCCAACGCCGTAGCACGGTTCTCGACATAATGGGTGCATCGGGCAGCAAGGGTGTCACCTTTGACACCAAACGCGACATCCCTACTCTCAAGGACAAAGTGATCCTGGTAACGGGCGGTAATACCGGTCTGGGCAAGCAGTCGATCCTCGAGCTTGCTAAACATAAGCCAAAGACGATCTGGCTCGGGGCTCGGAACACGACTAAGGCTCAGGAGACGGTCGACGAGATTGAAGCTGAAGTACCCAGTGTCAGCATCAAGCTCGTTGAGATGGACCTTGCATCCCTCTCGTCCGTCCGTGTGTCGGCCTATAAGGTTCTCGATAGCTCGGATCGACTTGACATCCTCCTACTCAACGCGGGTATTATGAACGTCCCACCAGCAACTACGAAGGATGGCTACGAAATCCAGTTTGGCACCAACCACATGGGCCACGCAATGCTTACTAAGCTATTACTGCCGCTGCTCCTCAAGACAGCCGATCAACACAGTACCGCCCGTATTACTGTCCTCTCCTCAGCTGCCCACTCTGTAGCGCCAGTTAATGGCATTCACTTTGACACGCTCAAGACCTCGGCCGCCGAGATGGGCGGCTGGGCCCGGTACGGGCAGAGTAAGCTTGCGAATGTACTCTTCGCCAAGGAGCTTGCCCGGCGGTATCCCACTCTCACAGTGTCCTCGGTCCATCCCGGCGTCGTCAACACCAACCTCTCCACTACGACGAGGGAAAATAGTTGGGTCGGATGGCTTGCTATGACAATGCTGCTCTTCTTCACCGGCGTAGACATTCCTACGGGCGCCCTGAATCAGCTCTGGGCCTCGGTTTCAAAGGACGTCGTATCTGGCACTTACTACGAGCCCATCGGCAAGACAGGCAAGGGGTCTCCGCTTACAGAAGATGAGGCGCTCGCGGCGAAGCTGTGGGAGTGGACAGAGAAGGAGTGCGAAGACTTCGGGGTTGACCGGGCCAAATAATGATTTAGTAGCGCTCGATTTCTTTCCTGGCTGTTTACACACAAATACTGAAAACTACAGTCACGGCCGTGTGAGCACGGTGGGCTCTGAATATTTCTAGTTCCATGTGCGACACGTGGGTTTTGCCGCAGACTGGCCACCATTATGGTGTTGCCGAATGAAGACCGCTCCTTGGCCTGCTAGCACTCTTCCGAGTGTCTCAATTTCAAGATGGGAGGCATTCACGATCGCGCTTTACCAGGAGTCGAGGTGAAATCCACGTCGGATCCCGCCCAGATGCAACGAACACCTCTGCGGGGTATGGCAGGCACCCGACACCCGTCAACTTATATCAGAGCTTCTTGCATTGGCCAACCACGGACTGTCGGCATCAATAGCCGCAAGACTTTTACTCGCTGAGCCATGCAACTGCTCGACGTCGACACTTGTGCCCCCGGCAAGTTCACTAAGGATACCAACCCGTAACATATGATGCTTGCCGCGCGCATGGGGCTCCGACGACGCCACCCATCGGAGATTACCGACCCAGGCACTGCCTCATACCACCCACACCAGGAGTCAAGCCACAGCGCGTCTGTCACTAGTTTAAGACGCCACAAAAAGCTTTATGAGAAATCTACCCGACCTCGTCCAGCTTTCAAGTCGCCGCGTCGTGATCGTCAACCCGATGTACGGGTGACCGTTACTAGGCTATGATGAGTGCCTCGGTATACTGAGGAATAATAGATACAGACTCATATAGTTATACTAGGCGCAAGGTCTTCTGACGCTAAAGAAGATACTCAAGGTCATTCGCGCCCGCTCGATAATGTGCTAAGGGCTGCTTTACAGTGTTAGCCTGCGTGTGGTAAGATCCGTGAAAAGGCTCCGCGCATTCAAATATGCCTTGCAGCGTCTCATCCTTCTCCCGAGCCCGCTATAGAATAGCACCTTTTACGCCGTACCTCCGCCGAAATTAGGTCTCAATACCGGGCTCGGGCTAGATACCAGCCTTATACCGTACATATTCGTACGCACGACTCCTCGTAGAGATTGCCGTACAAGGGCTGGGTCTAGTGGACACAAGACTACTGAATGACGTTTCCGACAAGCGTCCTCAGCTCGGCCAGTCGGTGAAACAGGACCTAGCGGAGAGAAATGTTAAACAATTGAAAAGACAAATACTTTATTGGAATTCTCCTGACTGTCTACATAATCTGACAACTATCTATGACTATGATTAGAGATCCCTCGTATCGAGGGTGCTTTGAACTGTGCACCACCAAGATATGGCCGATAATACTGTGCTATATACGATCACAGCCAACAAAAGAGCATACGTTATCGCCCTTACAAGAGCTCGCTTCACCAGTGGCGTCATGAGCTCCTGCACCAAAGTGTGGAATTGCTCACATGTATTCTTCTCCGGCCACGGCTCTTGTGGGAGAGGTAGTTGCAAAAAGGGGCAAATAGAATGCCAATCGAGTCCGTCTTCGAGCCGGAGGACCAGGAGCTGTTCGGCTGGTACCAACTTCTTGACACGCAGCAAACTATCGATTCGCGCGGTTGAGGTTCTGTCAGTCAATGCCCTCATAAGTGAGAAGAATGCCGTCATTGTTTCTCATCGGTGTCAAGCCTTGCACGGTTAGAAGGATGCTCGGAGGAACTTACTAACCACGATACCATGTCTCACAAGCTTCAAGGCCGCCTTGCCTTGTGAAATGGCCGCCGGAGAAGTGTCCGCCAATAAGGCGTGCATTGATGCAAAGCATCTTCATGGTTTCATCGAAGTGCTTGAGTGTTCTGATGGGCATCTTGTTAACATCGTCTGCCATACGGACAATGCTGTTCATAACGCTGCGCGCCCAGGCAGTTGGATCACGCTCGACTAAAATATATTTCGCACCAGGATAGGCTTGAACGATTTCTTCTGGAAAGTACGACGGCAATTCGACCAGAGCCTGATGACAGAACCGAAAAAACGCGATGATTGTCAGAGACTTGCAGGTGTATGCCTAAGTAGCACGCTTTCCTGAGAAGGCAACAAAGAACTTACATCATATCCCTGGAACCACTTATCGAACTCGGGTCGATGATAGGCTTCCGTGTTCTCGTGCCAGGCAGCCTGAAGAGCTTCATTGAACATCTTCATGTGGGATGCTCCATAAGCAAAGCTTTTATGGTTGTGGTACGCTTCGAACCCCAATTTGTTAAGAGCTCGATAAGTCGCGAGCGTTCCAGATCTATACCGAAGACGCGATCAGCAGGTCTGCTCAAATTCTCAACTCCAGCGCACTCAGGGCTAAAGTTGTCTGGAAGAAAGGCTCGCTAAATACCTGCTTGCGCTCATCACGATAACTCGAACGTCCATAGGCTTTTCTGGGCGTTTCAGGGTGTCCACATATCTCATCGCCTTGGAGTCTTTCCCCACAGAGTTTTTCGGGCTCGTTGTTGTGTTGAACCTCGAGTGAGGCATCGTGCGCTTCTTGGATAGTGACCAGAGACAACGTCATGCTAGGGCATCGCCGCCGAGGGTCAACGCGCAGTTATGTTTCGGTATCTTGTGCTGGGTGCGCCTGCGAAAGCTAGTGGACTATACAGTAGTGATAGAACAGAGAGGAGGTAAGGGTACTGATCGTTGCCCAATGCGACATCTTTGGTTTATAACAAGGATCCCCCAAATCTGGTTTGTTAAGCTACACATGAACGTATTGACGCTGTTAGCTTACCCGAGGCTGATTCGGGCCCGGGGCCAAGCAAATTCAGCTTAAATCAATGACGTAAGTGTCTACAGTAGTGACCGCGAACTGTGTCCGCTTTTCAGACTTTAGTTGATGTTCCCGCACGGACCATAAGCTGTGGCGCATTATGGCGCACACTGTGCAGACTGTCCCATAACAAGTACCCTCCAAAAGTGGATTTCAACATGACATGCAGCAGTTGCTGTTTCTTCGTCGCCCCATCTGCAGTGGTGGTCATCGCGAATCATCGGCCAATCTTCGCCATACCCTTCGTAAGCTGACAGCAAAGTATGAGGTGGCAAACATAACACATAACTTAGCATCAAAGGCCAATTTGTGTCTGTTTATACAGTACAGGATACTTTGATAGTGAGTGTCTATTCTACATATGCTTATCAGGAAGTAATCCTCACACAAATCATCATGCGGCGCAGAGACTCCGGACAATTCCTATTGCGGCCCAGGACCAGAGGTTGGAAGATCCCTCGAAGGCAGCAGCAATGTAGATGGTGCCGAACGCTTTTGCGGAGGTGAAAGGCTCATCGTGGAACTAGGATCGTTGAATGGTTGTCTTCAGTGGTGTTGAAGCGGGGTAAAGAGGACCCCACCCCACTTTCGGGCAGGATTGCAAAGCGGATCCAAGGCTGCACAGCGCTGTGGTCGGGCACCTTCCAGAGGTAATCGTCAGCACGGACGCTGGACGGGAGTCAACTACGCGCTAAAAGCCACCTCATTCTCGACTAGACGGGATGGCGACATCACAGGGTGATCCCGCAGCTATCCTCGACCCCAAGGACTATGCTGTCGTCTGGATTGCACCCCTCGAGATCGAAGCCAAGGCCGCCTTATATATGCTCGACGAGCCACACCAAGGCCGATTTGCAGTGGATCATGGCGATGAGTACGTGTTACACGCGGGTAGCATGTGCGGCCACAATGTCGTCATAGCGACTTTCCCAGCTGGCCAGGAGTATGGCACAGGGTCGGCGGCAGCACTCGCAAGCCAGATTCTCAAGTGCTTTCCCCATCACTGGTTTGGACTACTGGTTGGCGTCGCGGCGGGACTGCCAGACCTATCCTGTAACCCACCACGCGATATCCGCCTCGGCGATGTGCTGGTCAGTCTCCCTGAGGGCGAGAGAGCCGGGATCATCGCGTACGATCTCGGCAAAGAGACCGACGACGGATTTCAACCCCTACGGTACGGACACGTCTTGACCACGACGAAGCCGATAGTGCGGTCGGCAATCGGGAGGATCAAAATCCAAGCACCAAACGATGCCGCGATCTTCCTTCCCTACTACGAGAAGATCCGTGACCGGGAGCACGCTAACGGCACCTTCACGGACCCTGGGCAAGACCGCGACAGGCTCTACTCGGCAAACGAGGGCAGACCGGACGAACTCGTCGAACGAGTCCAACGACCAGACTCAGCCCGTACACGAGTATGGTACGGGCCGATCGGATCGGGAGATAAGCTATTGAAAAATGCACAGAGACGGAACGAGCTCAGGGACAAGTACGGGGTTATTGGCCTCGAGATGGAGGCGGCAGGGACGATGAACCGAATACCCGTAGGAGTCATCCGGGGGGTGTGCGACTATGGCGACCAGCAGAAAAACAAAGAGTGGCAGCCGTACGCAGCGGCGATGGCGGCTGCGTATGCGAAAGCCGTGCTGAGGGAGATACCTCCTGCTAAAAGTACAAGTAGTACAGATGGCACTACAAGGGCTATGAGATCAAACGGTAAGTGCTACAAAAGGCTGGTATCTCTCTAATTAGAACACTACTAACTATTGGCAGAATCTGCTCTTCCATGTTACTATATCCAGCTTCCTCAGAACGCCCGCTTCACTGGTCGGAATACCGTCTTGGAAACATTAAGTCAAGCATTCTTCACGCGAGCAGAAACCCGACGAATGGCACTGGTCGGTCTAGGTGGCATCGGCAAGACGCAGATTGCGCTACGGTTTGCTTACGATATCAAAGCTAGGCAGCCCGACTGTTCTATCTTCTGGGTACCAGTCCTGAGTCATGGCAGCGTAGAACAGGCGTACGTCGAGATAGCCAGGAAGCTAGGAGTCCAGAAGCAGACCGACGACGAAGATATCAAGGAACTAGTTCGCCAATATCTGAGCTCGGACAAAGGCGGCAACTGGCTGTTCGTGGTTGATAATGCTGACGACCAGGAGCTATTCTTCGGATCTGACGACAAGGCTGGTGTTGAGGAGTACCTTCCTGAGGGCGAGAACGGATTAATCCTGTTGACGACGCGATCGAGATATGTTGCTGTGCAGTTTGCACAGTCCAAGATAGTCGACGTTGAGGAAATGGACTCGAACGAGGCAATACTACTTCTCCAGAAGTCTCTCACGCAGGGACAGACACCCCAGGACGAAGCACTACTGGAAGATCTCCTTATCCAACTGACTTATCTTCCACTCGCAATCACCCAGGCAGCAGCATATCTCAATCAGACCAAGGTACCAATCCGTAAATACCTAAGGTTACTACGTGGGGCCGAGAAAGATGCCGTCCGGCTCTTAGGTCGAGAATTCCGCGACAGCACAAGATATCGGAACTCGCATAACGCTATAGCCACAACATGGATTGTTTCATTTGAACAGATTCTGAAGTCCGATCCAGTTGCGGTCGATCTGCTCTCGTTTACGGCATGTATCGAGCCGAAGGCGATACCACAATGGATCATGCCCGGGTCTGAGTCAGAGGAGAACGAATGGGCGATCGGCATCCTCTGCGGCTACTCGTTTCTTGCTCGGCGAGGAGACAACGATATATTCGATATGCACAGTCTTGTGCATATGGCCACGCGGGAATGGATTAAGAAACAGGATCGACATGAACGGGTGGCGTATGATGCTATTCGTCGCTTCAACGATATATTTCCTCCAAGCGATCATGAGAACCGTAAGCGGTGGCGGCAGTGTATGCCACACGCAATGCGGCTTCTTCATGACACTCAGGCTTCGGAAACAGAACACCGATATGAGCTTGTGTTTCATGTTGGGAGATGTATGCATATCGACCGACGGTTTAAAGAAGCAATACGATGCTTTGAAGACATGTGGCGCTGGGGGAAAAATGGCAATACAGGGGAAAGGCTATCAAAGGAGCACATAGAAAGTTGGCTCGCGAGCGCATACCTCAACGACCGACGGATCAAGGAGGCGATCGAGATGCTCGAGCATATAGTATCGATACGGAGAGAGACACTGGACGAGAGGGATGATTCTCGGCTGACATCGGAGCACGAGCTTGCGAGGGCATACCTCAACGACCGACGGATCAAGGAGGCAATCGAGATGTTCGAGCATGTGGTAGCGATACGGAGGGAGACACTGGACGAGAATGATCATTCTCGACTGGCATCGGAGCACTCGCTTGCGGGTGCATACCTGGACGACCGACGGATCAAGGAGGCAATCGAGATGTTCGAGCATGTGGTAGCGATATGGAGGGAGACACTGGACGAGAAAGATCATTCTCGACTGGCATCGGAGCATATGCTTGCGAAGGCATACCTCGACGACCGACGGGTCAAGGAGGCGATCGAGATGCTCGAGCATATAGTATCGATACGGAGAGAGACACTGGACGAGAAGGATTATTCTCGGCTGACATCGGAGCACGCGCTTGCGGGTGCATACCTGGACGACCGACGGATTAAGGAGGCGATCGAGATGTTCGAGCCTGTGGTAGCGATATGGAGGGAGACACTGGACGAGAAGGATCATTCTCGACTGGCATCGGAGCACGCGCTTGCGGGTGCATACCTCAACGACCGACGGATCAAGGAGGCAATCGAGATGTTCGAGCATGTGGTAGCGATATGGAGGGAGACACTGGACGAGAAGGATTATTCTCGGCTGACATCGGAGCATGAGCTTGCGAGGGCATACCTCAACGACCGACGGATCAAGGAGGCGATCGAGATTCTCGAGCATGTCGTTGCTGTTGAAGCTCACATTTATGCCGAGGACGACCCTGAGCGCGTTCTCTCCGTGGATCTGCTAGCGGATGCATACATACAACTCGAATCGTGTAATGAGAATATGGACAGCAAGAGTCCAGTCTCAGATGGCGATGACTAAGGGCACAACAAGGACACTACCATGAGCGGGCATGCATCCATCGAGAAGCTCATAAAGGCTATGAGTAGCATGCAAATCTAGAGAACGAAGCACGGGGAGTCTGCTGTACCACAGAGTGGATCGCATCTAGGACGATAATCAAGTTTCAGCTTTATTCATGCATAAAGTCTCAACTGAAGAGAGAGTGGACGTCTTCCGGGAGTTATTATACATGAAATCTGGCCGCATCCACCCCCTTAACGAAAGGGCCGGAAGGTAATTCTGAAAGGAGACGTATACCGAACGACCTCATTATGAAGGCCATCTGCTGCTTGGAATACTGTCTATTTCTGACGTGGACTATTAAGAGGCAACACGCCATAGCACGCCACACCTGGCTGATTCGTGCGAAAACAGCCACTACAGTAACTTCGAAAGCCGGACACATCCAGTGGTCATTACTATACAATATCCAACCTCACTTGTTTGATCAAGGATAAGTCCCTCGTCTCTACTTCTGGCGCATGCATAGTGCGTATTGACGACACTCCTAGATCCACAGTGCTCTGCATTACCCCCAACCCTAAAACAAATGCCCTGTGTCACGATCCCGCGCCTTTCTCGTCGCTATGTACACCACCTACAGGTAAATGCCCGTGCACAGACCGTTGTGGTCGTAGCGAACCAAGTGCTACTATACAGTATGCAGACGATGCCCGATCTCCAGAAGGCATAGTCGTCGCAAGCAATATTGGATGCATGATCCGAGTGTTTAAATACTTCGCACAAGTACGTCACGCTTCTCGCTCTGTTGTTTCAAAGTTCTTGCCCATGGATTTACCGCCTGCGCACAACGGTGACCTCCAACGATGCTACACCTATAAAGGGTTTCCAAGCTCGAATGCCTTTGGAGACGGTCTGCTGGGTCTGGAAGTTAGGAGCGAAGACCTATCCCAATGTGCGTGGCCAGTTGAAGCTGGCATTCAAGCTTTGCCATTATATTGCACAACGCATCGTTTCTGGCAACATCAGTGTGGGCGCCGACCACATAGGCAACTTACAGCGGGCTATCTCTTGTTAGCTCTCGTCCTAACGTTCATCTTAATGTGTGCATGTTGTACGTGCCCTCTGGTTGACGTGTGCTAGCATCATCAAAGCGCGGTCTCTATTGCAGACAACTAATGGGGTTTTGTGCTGGCACGAGACTAGTATCGCTGCTTTTCATCTAGGATTTAGACTCATTTCCGGCATGGGTGCGACAGGGCTTGTGGACGTTAACAGCTTGTAGAATGCATCCGACATGCGATTGCAGTACGGTCATGTTGGAGATGGGTGTCACGATGGTGAAGCATAACGCGTCTCTGCTTGTGAGACGGGCTCCTCTTGGCTGAGTAAGGTACCTCAAGGGACGAGCGACAATCTCATCGTAGGGCTCGGGGGGTCCAAGCAGCCTCACAAAGCACGCCCCCTCGGTCCCACGCCCCCAGGGACCCCAACCCCACTGACGGAGTGGCGGGGCTTCCCTCTAATTCCCGTGGTGGTGCTGTGATCCACTCTCAGGTGCCCCCTGCCTCTGATGGCAGCCAAATTTGGATCTAGCAATGGGAGTGGTACAGACACGGTTGCCTGCCTCGCGTTTCGGACCGAAGTGGAGGTTGGCAGGCTGAGGACTATCTGTTACGTCGATTCTGGAGCAGTACAGCGGGGGATAGTCGCCGGCTGCAGGTACGAAGTAGAGTATTTCACCATCGTGGTAGCTTCGCTCGAGTAGATGCTCTTTCCGTCCACTAATTCAACTGAGCTCATGCACCGAACTATCCTGTTCTTATGTCTGGCGTAGCAACGACCCCGATTTGTGCTTCTTCCGTATCTGACGATCAATGCGACAATGCGAATCGTTGTGTGCCTATGATTCGAGTCGCTGACGAGGAGTATCCGGCAATGTCATTTCCTCGTTATTCAGAGAAGCCGTTGCACGAGCAACTCGAGCCGATCGCCGTGGTTGGAATGGGTCAGTATGGGAACAATACGCACTATGAACCTGCTAACATTTAGTCCTTTAGCATGTCAACTGCCTGGCGAGGTTGGATCTGCTGGTGACTTTTGGGATCTAATGATGAAAAAGAGAACCGGCCATACTCCGCGAGTGCCCTCATCCAGGTTCAACATTGATGCCCACTATCACAAGAACAACAGTCGACCAGGTAGTTTCAACGTCTTGGGCGGCTACTTCCTTGAGGAAGATCTCACAGGCTTTGACCCGGCTTTCTTCGGCATCACCCCTATCGAGGCTAGGTGGATGGATCCTCAACAGCGCAAATGTAAGCCAGTGTGCAATTACACAAAGGACCCCAGAGAATCGCAACCTCAAAGGAGTAGCTGACCTTCCTGCTTGTTGTACCTAGTACTGGAGGTTGTCTATGAAGCTCTCGAGGCTGGTGGCATCACGCTTGAGGCCATCTCAGGAACTCGTACCGGAGTATACGCAGCCAGCTTTACCGCAGACTGGCAGCAGATGGCGTTTCGTGAGCCCTCCTTTCGGCACAGCGTCGCCGCAACGGCCGTCGATCCTGGCATGATCAGCAACCGCATCAGCCACGTCTTCAATCTGAAAGGACCTAGCATGATGTGTAACACTGCCTGTTCTTCGTCGCTGTATGCTCTGCATAATGCTTGCAACGCGCTCCGCAATGGCGAATGCGAGGCGGCCATTGTCGGCGGGACGAACATGATCATCGCAGCAGATCAGCACATGAACACCGCAAAGATCGGCGTGCTGTCTGCCACATCGACATGTCACACTTTTGACGACAGTGCTGACGGCTACGGACGCGCTGAGGCTGTCGGTGCGGTGTACATCAAACGGTTGAGCGATGCCATTCGTGATGGTGATCCCATCAGGGGCGTCATCAGGAGCAGCGCCGTCAATGCTAATGGTCGAACAACTGCTGTGAGCATCAGCCAGCCCAGCTGTGAGGGTCAGGCTGCAGTGATGATGGAAGCCTATCGGAGAGGGGGCAATCTCGATGCCCGTCTGACAGGCTATGTCGAGTGTCACGGGACCGGCACACCAGTTGGCGACCCTCTCGAAGCAGAGGCGATATCTATAGCGCTGAACACGAACCGGAACATATGCGACGAGCCCCTGCTGATCGGATCCGTCAAGCCCAATGTCGGCCACAGTGAGGCTGCAAGCGGTCTCTCCTCTTTGATCAAGGCTGTCTTGGCTGTTGAACGCGGTATCATCCCGCCAACTTATGGCGTGGCCAAGCCAAGCAAGGCCATCAAGTGGAACGAGTGGCAAGTGCGAGTACCGACAGAACCTCTGCCATTCCCTGCTCATCTTCCTGTCCGGCGGATTTCGGTCAACGCTTCGGGATATGGTGGGACCAATGCCCATGTTATTATTGAAGGCGCCGACTCCATCGTCCCTCAGCTGGGCGGTAGTACAGAGAGATCTGCCAGCTATACGTACTATTGCCAGCATCACACTGTCGGTAGTGAGATAACAACACAGCAATTTCTCGATCCCAAGAGCACGACAGCAAAGAAGTGTTCTCGGCACGTCATCGACCATGACCGCCTATTTCTGTTGCCCTTTTCAGCACATGATACGGCGACCTTGCAGCGCAACATTGCGGCTCACGCCAAAGTGCTAGACCGCTACAGCCTTCTTGATCTCTCGCATACGCTCACTACGAGGCGGACCAACCTGGGAAGTAACGCGTATCTAGTAGCTAGCCAGCGGACCCTGGGTGAGATTCTCAGCTCAGATTCTACGACTGCTACAGAGTCGTTTGTATTCGGCGGTACAAGTCAGCCGTGCAGGAAAGTGGGCTTTGTGTTCACAGGTCAGGGAGCACAGTGGCCACGAAGTAAGTCGAGCACTAGAATTACTCGGCCATGTTTCACCCCCAACGCTAGATTTAACGAGGCTAATGCGTCCTATCTTGTGATTTAGTGGGTGCCGAACTCATCAAGTACAGCTCTGTGTTTGCTCGCTCGATTCGGGTGCTGGACAACGTACTTCAAGGCCTGCGGGATAGGCCCGGCTGGAAGCTCGAGGAATTATTACTCGAGGAAGCTTCCACTTCGCCTATCGCTTCAGCTGAGTTCGCTCAACCCCTTACGACCGCTGTACAAGTCGCGCTGGTCCAACTCCTAGATGATTGGGGCGTGCACCCCGCGGTCACTGTAGGACACTCTTCTGGGGAGATCGCGGCAGCTTATACCGCCGGGCTCCTCACGGCCAGAGAGGCCATCACGGCTGCCTTCTATCGCGGTCAAGTCGCCCGGGATGTTCGCGCTAACGGCGCAATGCTGGCGGTGGGCATAGGCGCCGAGACCTTGACGGAGCAATACCTCAGCAGTCCCCAGATGATGGAGGTCGAAGTAGCATGCTACAATTCCCCGACCAGCGTGACTCTCAGCGGTGATCTGGACGCTATCCAGGCCGTAAAGGGTCGGCTAGACGTCGACGGAGTCTTCACCCGTATGGTCAGCACTGGTGGCAAGGCTTATCACTCACGTCACATGGCCGATGTGGCTAGCAAGTATGAGGAACTCATCGGCCAAGCTAGAGCCGACTGGGCTCATGCATCGACCGCTGATGAGGCGGGGTGGATGAACTTCCAACGAGGAAGTGGCGTGTCTATGATATCGTCCGTCACGAGTAGCCTGTTAGCCAAGGACACTGTTCTTGACGGGACATACTGGAGCAAGAATCTGCAAAGTCCGGTTCGCTTCGACCAGGCCATCCAGAAGTTGTTAACAACTGCGAAATATTCGGACGTCGATTTAATGTTGGAGATCGGGCCTCACTCGGCCTTGTCCGGTTTCATCAGACAGATCCAAACTCACGTGGGTCACAAAAAAGCTGATTATCTCCCGACATTACTACGGAACGAAAACGGTGCTGTCAGGCTGCTCCAGGTAGCTGGCGAGCTCATTCTGCGTAACTACAACACGCTCAACAGAGCCAAAATTGTACGAGCATACAGTACTTATGATTGTCAGCCTGGCTCCTGTGGTCAGGGTCGAACGATTGTCGATCTCCCGCCATACCAGTGGAACTACGAACGAATTTTGTGGGCCGAGAGCCCCCTAAGTCGCGAGCACCGGCAGCCTGCTTTCCCTCGTCATGATCTTCTTGGCCAGCAAATTGTCGGTTCATCCCCATTGGAGCCAACGTGGCGCAATTTGCTGCGGCTTCAAGACCTCCCCTGGCTCAGGCATCATCGCCTAGGGGGTGAGTATATATTCCCTGCGGCAGGATACTTGTCAATGGCCATCGAAGCCCTGACGCAGATGCATGAGCTCGGGTACACTGCCACGGAAGGTGTGATAGACGGTTACATCTTGCGTGATGTGAAAATCCATACCGCCCTTGCGGTCCCAGAAGCGGACGACGGTGTCGAGGTGCGACTCAGCCTGTGGCCAGCGGCGGGCAGGACCGACAATGGCTTTTTCGAATTCAGTGTGTCGTCGACGAGCTATGATGTTTCCGTCGCCAGCAATCATCGCGGCATAGTCTCGCAGCATGTGACTGGCAGGATTCGTCTTGTCACAAGAACAGCCGGTGACGATAGAAGCTTTAGAAAACAACCTCGACGAATCCCGGATTTCCCACAGCGAGCGAGCGGCCGAGCGTGGAACAAGGCGCTCCGCGAAGTCGGATTCGACTACGGCCCGACATTCCAGGACATGGACGACATCCGCTTCGATGGTCGGCAACATGCTGCTAGCTGCACGACTTCAATCAAGCGATGCGTGGATAGAGAGCTTGGAGAGTCCCGCTATGCCTTGCACCCCGCGTGTGTCGACTCCATTCTGCAGTTATGCATAGCAGCCATTCATGCTGGCCGAACCCGCGCGATGACTTACGGAGTTGTGCCAACATACTTCGAAGAAATAGCTCTCTACCCTCCCACAAAATCTCAACTAGAAGCTGGGACTAGTTGTGGATATGCGTGGACCACAGAGCGAGGAGCTCGATCGTTCAAAGTCAGTGCCCAGATGACCGCCTCCGATGGACAACTTGTCCTCGATATTGTCAATGCAGGGACGACAAGCTACGAAGCCGCTCTGCCGCAAAAGAACAGCTCAGTTGACCCGCTGAACGGGATCACACAGCCGTATGGCGCAGTAACGTGGAACCTTGACCTCGACGCCCTGCTCGAAAGCCTGTCGGAAGACCAAGGGGACCAGAAGGGCGCGCGTCTTCTCAGTTCGGCCGTTCACCTAGCAGAGTTGGCACTGTTCAAGGATCCAGGCTGTCATATTGTCGAAGTTGGTTTCCGGTTTGCACGTCACACTCTGGAGAGACATCCGCTCGCCAATTACACTGTACTCGTGGACCACGAGGCTGAGTCTGAAGCTGTACAAACTCTTGAAGGATTTCGTTTCGCCAACGTACAAGTCGTAGAGAACGGGTCCCTGAGATACGATGCGCCAGCAAGTTCCCAGCAGCCTTTGAATCCGCCCGGACTGATTGTAGCCGACTCACTTTCAAGTATTCCGCCATCGCTGATGAACAATCTTGGTAGTCCGGGGGTCATCGCTACGGCCGCAATAGAAGAGGCACGGCCGTCTGGGTTTGATGTCATTCATCTTGAAGACCAGACGATCTACCACATCAAAGCCCCGCAGGCTTCAGGTCTCGCCGCGCCACAGTCCAAAACCGTTCTCCTGGTATATCGGAGCATTATCCCCCGAGTTTTCAGACTGACCCAACATGTCCTCCGTGAACAAGGCTTCGTGGTTGAGACGTGCAGGCTTCTGGCAGCCCCTATGGTCCTGCATTCTAAAGATATCGGGCAGGTCATCTTACTCGCCGACCTCGAAGGCACATCCTTGCTTCACACCATGGTAGAGGCGGAATTTGCTGCTGTACAGAAAATCGTCACACTCAGTTCGTCTCTGCTCTGGATATCTGCAGGTGGCGCGATTGTGGCTTGCAAGCCGGAGTTTGCTCTCGTCCAGGGACTTGCCCGGTGTGCCAGGGCAGAGCTATGTCCTCTCGACTTCGAAACGCTGGACCTACATCCTGATCTCAGCGACGAAGTCATGGTCAAGGGGATCCTGCGCATAGCTAACCTGCAGCAGAAGTCTCTATACGCCGCTATGAGCGAACCAGCTGACACAAGTGGCCGTCGTGATCAGGAGTTTGCTGTTCACGACGACGGCAGGATGTACATCAGTCGTCTCATCGGCAACAAGCATGTGAACAAAGCCTGTGCCAGCGCACCAGAGCCCGAAACCACGCTTCTGACAATCAAAAACCGCAGGTTAAGTGGCAAATTGGTGTCACAAGGAGAACTCAAGTTCGTGGACTGTTCCCATGACCAAGATGCCACTCAGCCGATCCGACCAGACCATGTGGAAGTCCACGTGCATATCAGTGGTCTCTCAAGGGAAGGAGTCCTAGCTATCAACGGGTCTACTTATGCCAGCAAGTTCAGCTATGAAATGGGCGGCGTCGTCGTCGGAGTTGGTTCTGATGTGGAGGGGTTGAGGCCAGGTGACACAGTCGTTGGGTTCAGCGCCGCGAAATTCTCGACGTTTCAGCAAACACATACGAGTCTCGTCCACAAGGTTGGAAACGGCACAGAAAGCAAGATGCAAGGGCTCGTGGCATCTCTACTGCCGTTCGCTAATGCCATCTATGGCCTCGAAGAGCTAGGCCGGATCAAGGCCGGAGATGTCGTCCTGATTCTGGACAACACCGGGCCGAGTGGTGCTGCTGCAGTCCGTGTAGCACTCCAGCACGGTGCCCGGCCCATAGTCCTGCAGAGCCTTGACACGGAAGACCTTCCTTCAGACATTGCTGTACGGGATCCCAGATGCATCATCAAGTACCATGCATCCGAACAGCTCGAGAGCATCTTTCAGCGCCTCACGGAGCTCACCAACGGCCACGGCGCAGATATCGTCTTCAGTGGGGGCAGCAGTATCAACACGGGCATGGCCGCCGAGGCATGGCGGCAGATTGCACCCTCCGGCCGCTTCATCGACTCTGGAACAAAGGATATTTCAACGCGCGCTGGTCTTGACACAACGCCGTTCAACCGTGGCGCAATTTACGCCGCGTTTGATCTGATTGAGTTGTACCATGCGCGGAAAGAGATCATCGCGAGCTTGTTGCCTCGAGTGCTCGCATCAGCCAACCGCAGTATGAGCGAAATCTCACAGAACAAGGGGCTCCCCTTCCCGATTCGCGTGGTTGATGTCGCAGACATCAACCACGCTGTGGCCTCGCACTCGGAAAGCCACGGCACACCGAAGACTGTTGTTCGCTACCGGTCGCCACAGAAGCCACTGCAGATCATCCCATGTGCTACTCGCCCTCGCGTATCTTTCAGCCAGGACGCCTCCTACCTGCTTGTTGGCTGTCTCGGCGGGCTGGGACGCAGCCTCACTACGTGGATGATGCAGAGGGGTGCTCGTCGGTTTGTCTTTCTCTCTCGAACGGGGGCACGCAGCCCTGCTGCTGGGAGGCTTATCCGAGATATTGAAGCCCTGGGGTCATCTGTGACTGTAGTTCGAGGAGATGTCACGGTCTACGCAGACGTTGAGGCTGCAGTGAAGCTCGTCCCTTCTGAACATCCGATTGGTGGTGTCATCCATGCAGCAATGGTGCTAAGAGTAAGTACTGCGAGTTTCTGATTCAAGAGTAGTAGTGTTGTGCGTTCTGCGACTTGCAAGACTGATCTTCATATAGGATGTCCTGTTCCAATCAATGACTTTCACAGATTGGCAGACTGCAGCGGCGCCCAAGATAGATGGCGTCTTGAATCTGCAGTCCGTACTTTCCAAGGCCCCAAACTCAGCGCAGCTTGACTTTTTTCTCATGACGAGCTCAATATCTGGTCTCTTGGGCATGCCAGGACAGAGCAACTACGCTGCTGCTAACGGCTTCCTTGATGCCCTAGCCAGGCGCGGATCGCACGAAGCTATTGACCGCACTCACGATAAACAGAGGCCAAGAGCAGCACGAGCGCCCGTCTCGATCATCCTGCCTATGGTTCTCGGTATCGGTGTGGTAGCCGAGAACACGAAGCTTGAGCAATTGCTGACGCGCACGGGGGTGTATGGTATTGATGAGGAGCAGCTTCTCGAGGCGTTCGAGGTCGCACTGAGCTCTGGAGCTAACCAAATAATCCCTGGGCTCGATCCCGCCAGACTCCGTCACTGTCTCGACGAAGTGGGCGAGGATGTATTCTGGCAGCATGATGCCCGCTTCAGTAGCATCATGCACACTATCCACTGTGCACATGTTCTGGGCACTGGCCCCAAAGCGCTGGCAGACAGTCATTCTAGGCTGACCATACTCGAGACCATCCGTGGGGCGCAGTCGCTTTCAGAATCTGTTCTGACTGTCAAGGAACACTTCGCCGCCAAACTGTCACGTTTGCTCGAGCTAGACGTGCGAGTTATCGACACTCAAAGTAAATCCATAGCTTCATATGGTTTGGACAGCATGATCGGCGCAGAGCTGCGCAAGTGGATCTTTAACGAGTACGGACTAGACTTCCCATTCAAGCAGCTCCTAGCTCCGACCTTGACGATCGATAAGTTTGCATTGCAAGTATGCAAAGCCGTGAGGTCGGAAGCAGGAACAGACGATACAAGAGACGTGTAATAGGACTCTACTAGGACTTAATAAAGGCTTAGATCGCACAGTAAATTCGGTCGCTTAGATGCTGCTAACAACTCTCAGTATTAGGTGCTACTGTGTACATGGTGATTTCCCGGCTTGCTCACTGCAATTGAGAGTTTTTGAAATGACAAGTCTTCGAGCAGAGGCTCATCACTTAACAAGCGAAGGATTTCTACCGGCCATTATCACCAGCATTCGTGCTAGGCTGGGCATCACCGTTCCTAGCTTGGTGGCTCTTTGGTGGACCTTTCTGCTGTCCTCGCTGCGATGATGATTCTAAGAAAGGAAAGCAGGCAGCGACCGTGTTAAAGGACAATAGGGACTGATGGAGACCGAATGGGGTTCCCTCAGCGGATGGCGATGTCTCCGAAGGGTACGGCTCGCCGAGCAGGGCGACTACAGTATCTTTATAAGACTTGATAGTGTTCAACTCCATATCGTCGTTTCGAACCAGCAGGCGTAACGCAAGCTGTCTGAGGATCAATTTCCAATTGCTGACCGGGATGACCCAATAATGCATTAACTTAGTACATATATACAGTCTCTCATGTCGGCCTTATGCTATTTCCGGCTCTTCATCTCCTTTGTTACACATGGCTCCGTTTTTGGAGATGCGACTAACACGAGCCTCGTAAAGAAATACTTAGTTTTTAAGGCTATACTCTCGTGGGTGAGCCTGTACCTGGCTAACAGCTATTAGAACAAGCAAGGAGCCGCAGTCCCACAATGCGCCTTCTCGCCCGAACTTCTTAAGAAACTCGTGCTAGACCATTCATTAGTACCACTAATCGGAATATCATGCAGGACCAAGTACCTGTTGTAGCTCGGTCGCAGTCTGTGCAGATGTCGTGGCGGCGACAAAAGACACCGCATCCCCATTAGAAAGCCACTGCCGGTTATGGATGCCCTCTCTGCCTTCATTCTTGTTGACTAAGCCTTGCGTGATTGTGTTAATCCGGGCTGCTGCACAGTGCTTTCGTGCCGGATTGATGGGCTGACACGCTTCGCAGCAAGCTGATACACTTCATTAGAGCCAGTCCGTTCTCCAGACTGCGATTTCGCTGCTTAACGTACATTATCAGTGAGTGGCCCATATCAGCGAGTGGCCCACTTTCTACGCGACGCGACACCTTCGCTCTCAACACCTAATTTTCTCAGTCACCCAATATGCCATCTACTTCAAAGGAAGCCCAGATAATCTTGGCCCTCGGGGCTCTTCAAAACGACAAAAATCTAAGCGTGCGAGCCGCTGCTGAGATTTACGGGGTCGCCCGTAAGACTCTAGGGCGCCGACGCGACGGCAAGCCTGCACGATGCGACAGTATGCCCAAGTCGAAGAAGCTTACTCAGTCAGAAGAAGAAGCTATTGTTCAATATATTGTTGAGCTATCTACGCGAGCTTTTCCACCTAGATTGTGTGGTGTGGAAGATATGGCCAACCAACTGCTACGCGTACGCGACGCGCCTCCTGTCGGTCAACTCTGGGCCCATCGATTTGTCAAACGCCAGCCAGAGCTCCGTACGCGTTATACGCGTAGATACGACTACCAGAGGGCCAAGTGTGAGGATCCAAAGGTCATTGGCGAGTGGTTTGCCCTTGTTCGGAACGTCAAGGCCAAGTACGGTATTGTGGATGACGATATCTACAACTTCGAGGAGACTGGGTTCATGATGGGCATCATCTTCGCGGGTATGGTAGTTACGACCTCGGATGGCCGTAGCAAGGCAAAGCTGGCCCAGCCTGGCAACCGTGAATGGGCAACGGTGATCCAGGGAGTCAATGCCCTCGGCTGGGCCATCCCCCCCTTCATCATCTTGGCCGCACAGTACCACCTCGCCAACTGGTATACCGAGTGCAACCTCCCGGCCGACTGGCGCATCGCAACCACCGATAATGGTTGGACTACTAATGCGGCAGGCCTAGATTGGATCAAGCACTTCGACTTCCATACAGCACCTCGTACGAAAGGCAAATACCGGTTATTGATCCTCGACGGCCACGAGAGCCACCACTCGACCGAGTTCGAGCTCCATTGCCAGCAGAACAATATCATCACGCTCTGCATGCCTCCACATTCATCCCACCTCCTCCAGCCACTCGATATTGGCTGCTTTGGGCCACTGAAGCGGGCGTACGGTCGCCAAGTCGAGGACTTAATGCGCATGCACATCAACCATATGAGCAAGCTCGAGTTCCTCTGTTCCTTTCGCGAGGCCTTCTTTGCCTCTATAACAGAGAAGAATATACAGGGTGGCTTTGCAGGTGCTGGCCTTGTACCGTACGACCCAGACAGGGTGCTCTCTAAGCTAGATGTTAAGCTTCGTACACCGACACCCCCGACCTCACGGCCTAGCACTATACAACCTTGGGCTTCCAGACACCCCATAACCCCCGAGAAGCCAACTCGCAGTCAACGCTCATCAAGACTCTAATTACCAGCCATCAAAACAGCTCCCCGACTTCGATGTTAGCTGCTGTTGACCAGCTTACCAAGGGTACAATGGCTGTGATGCACCGGGTGGCCATCCTCGAGTCAGCGAACGCTTCACTCCGCAAGGCCAACGAGGCACTAAGCAAGCGCCGGAGAGCCAAAAGAACACGTGTGCAGCTTAGAGGATCACTTACTATACAGGGTGCACAGGAGGCACTAGGCCAGGGGGCCGTGGGTGGGGAGGGAGTACAAGAAACGCAGCTGGATGGTAGTGGTACAAGGGGGGGCCCTTCGAGGGTTCGCTGCTGTGGTGTGTGCGGCAAGCCTGGCCATAATATACGCACTTGCCAGGAGGCTGTAGAAGCATCAGATCCAGCTGCTTCCGATGTAATAATAGTTGGTTGTTAGTGTTGATGTGTTGCAATTGAGGCGGGTTGTTCTAGGGTAGTATGAGGGTGGGCCACTCGCTGATATGGGCCACTCACTGATAACGTACGTTAACCTATGTAATCTTGTTGAAATCGTGGTATGTAGACACCCGGGGTCTAGATTAATCGACTACTTTTATGGTCCAAAGAAGGACCCTGTCCTATCCGTGGATTCTCGCTCCTTTTATCGCATGTCCGCTGTCTTGCGCGACGTGCTCTCACGCCAATTACAATTGATAGATCTTAACAGTCTCGCCGCTCTTGATAGTGACCTGGCCGTTCTGTGCGGCCCCGCTATTGATAGAAAAGTCGCCGTCAAACGGCACGATAATCGTGCCCTCGAGCTCGGCGGGCGGCGTTAGCTCGAGCGCGCACTTGGTACTACTATTGCCGCCGGACTCGTAGCCTGGGGCTACGAGGGTGTTAACGGCCGGGGTCGGCACGCGGCCGTAAACCCACTCGGACTCGAAGTCCTTCATCGGCCGGAAGGTAAAGGTCTTATAGCTAGGCGTGGTCGGCTTAACGCCGAGGACGTAGTGAGGAACGCAGTCGGGTACGAGCCCTAGAAGTGGCTGCCGGCGTCGAAGAGGCCGAGACCTAGAGCGCTACCGTCTGTATTCTAGGATTTGTAGCAAGATGTGTATGTCAGTGGTCGTAGCCTAATAAAAAGGAGAGGAGTTTTCGTGGAAGGAGAATCGAGAGGAGAGATAGGACCAAAGAATGTAGACAAGGGAAATGGAGTCCCACAGAGTTACTAGGGTAAACTTACTACGTATTCCCAGTAGGCGCCCGTGTAGTTGACATCTCGACGCACCATAGGGCTCCAGGTATGGTCGAGCAAGTCCTGCGTAAGGGCGGTCTGGTTCTCGATGGCGAAGCCCTCGAGGATGAAGCTGAGCATGTACGGGTTGGCCACGGCGACCGTGTCCTTGAAGCGGGTGCCGTTGAGGTAGCCCGAGGGAATGCGCAGCTGCTCGACGCTGGCGACCGTCTTGGTGCGGCGCTCGGGGTTGCCGATCTGGCCGAGCAGGATGTTGCCCGCGTCGGCAATGTCGATGCCGTCGAAGGCCGGGGCGCCGGCGTAGTACTGGGCCGTGTGGTTCCAGAGCAGCCTGTCGATCGTGTCGCGCGAAAGGCGGGCCTGCGTGTGGTAGGCTGAGGCCGCGCGCCTGTCGTTCATGTAGTCGGAGATCTCGGCCATGCGCTCCCACGCAAGGATCATCGAGACGGTCTGCGAGGGCCCAAAGGGCTGCGACTTCTCGCCGATGAGGGGGATGCCGAGCTTCCCCTGGGCCGCACCGTACAGCTGCATCGCCAGGTCCAGGGCACGCGTGGAGGCGTAAGCGAGGACGCTGACCATGGTGGTTTAGTGCGTCTCGATGAAGGTGTTGTTGCCGGTGCGCATCCAGAAGTCGTGCAGGTATTGCCTACTGCGTTTATTTCTGCTGGAGATATGGACAAGAACGGGGGCCCTGGGAGTCCTCGGGTGAGCAGGAGTCTATGTCGACGTGTGATTGCGAGTTGGGCTGAGTTGGGTCACAACTCGTTACTTACTCCCTACTCGGTCAATGACATCACAGTCGCCTGTCACTCTGGTTTCTTGAAAGCTCGTTACGGTCGTCGCCCTGGCTACCGTCCCAATTCGCACTTACAAGTTATGTAGGTTGATGGTGCTCCATGGAATAGTGGACTGGGTATTATATACCACTTAACAGATTAATCTAAATTACAAGTGTCCTTGTACAATAGCCGAAACAGCAAAAGGGTTTGCAGTGAAAACACCGCTAGGATCAGCCTTGGCCCTTGCCCTACCCAGTCTATGGTACTTGTCCTCATCCTCATAATAACATTTCCAAACCTCCTGCTCCCCCAAGTCCCAGTTACCATAAGAGCCCCAGAGCAGACGTCTGTCCTGCTTACTAAACGGGCTAGAGGGACCAGCCATAATAGCGTCATTTTTAGCCTGCCACTTTTCGGCATACTCCCTATACTTGTCACCCACTTCATGAAAACAGTCTAGTGTCAGGACGACCGACGTGTCCCTCCAGCTGTAGGATGTGCCGTTATCCTTGTTTAAATAGAAACGCGAATTGGCGCCTCCAAAGCATTGGGCCTGCATTAC